TACTCATCTACTCACAGACTCATGTTCGTGCTGCTGATTATTTCATGTTGCTGTGTTCATTCGTACTCCTCTACTCACAGACTCATGTTCGTGCTGCTGATTATTTCATGTTGCTGTGTTCATTCGTACTCATCTACTCACAGACTCATGTTCGTGCTGCTGTTGTTCGGCGTACTGTTTTTGCACTGTTGGTGTTTAGCGTCATTCTTAGTTTAGCGCAGGGCTATTGAACAAAACTGCTCAGGGGGCCACAGTTTCTGAAAGCCAGCAGCTCGGGGGCCGGACATCCAGCGGTTAGTCATTATGTGAATAAACTAAAGTTTACAATGATCTGTCATGTTTTAAATTTGTTTATCTTATTGCATTCTATCATAAATGCAATAAACAGAACTGAAAACCTCCGCCTTTGTTTAAGGCCGTTAAATGTGTCGGTTAGAATAAAGTTGTTGTTTTCACTCACAACATTCATGCTGACAGGAAGTCCCACAACAAGTCTGTCTTCATCGTTTCAGTTTTTAAGTGTCTGAAAGTCGAGTGGTGAAAGGAAGAAAAGGGAACAGTATTTTTATGTGTTAATAAATGGTCAGTGTAAACGGACGTGCTGATCTGACACGTGAACAGTAACGTGCTGTGTAGGACACGGTGTCATATCACTCAGCTGATAATCTTTTTTAATTCAGACAGATCCATCAGCCATTACTGGGTCCAGCTGTGTCTCCGGCACGTGCAGTAGCTGTACTAAGGCCAGGACCCTTGTTTGGACCACGTTTTAGACTTTTTAAACAGACCCAAGCCCTGCAGAGCACAATGAACCCTTCAGAAAGAAAACACAGAAACTGGAACACAGGAAGGAGTTTGATTGACAGCAGCATTCCTCGCTCTTGATTGGCCGGAAGGAAGGAACAATTGTGTACTGATAACCCCGCCCCTTCGTCCAGAAAAACAAGAGCAGAGCCTGAAAACGATCAGCGAGCGTTACATAAGGCTTGAATCAGCCTGCGAGGACACCCTGTGCTCCGTGAGGTTGTTGGCCTTAGACGCTTCATCCCTCCAACATATTGAAACAACTTCCTGGTTCAACAGGAAGTGAGAGACGCCGGCTGTTTTGGAAGTGTTGCTGCTTCTTAGCAACAGGTACTCACTGGGCAGAATGGTTCTGTATCGGTTCTTGATGCTGTAGTTGGGAATGTCCAGCTCCTTGGGGTCGATAAAGTTCATCGGTATTTCCTGATGAAGGAGAAACGAGTGTTAGCAGAAAGAAGAGCTTCTAAAAAGGTTGTTCTGAAAAGTACTGCACAGTTTAGTAAAATATACGCACTCCATTTAGTTATCCTGAGTTCTGATTCAAGAGTAAAGAGCAGTGAGATGATGTCACTCTGCTCTTTAAAGAAGAACGCACGTTTCCTCACATCGTCAGATGAACTAAACATTTAGTTCATGACGGCTTCAAATAGACCAAATACAAAATCAGACTATAAAACTTATTTATAAACTTTGTTTTGAAGATTTTTAATAAAGAAATTCTGAAAAATAATAAAATCACTGAAATGCTACTTTGATTGTTCATACACTACTTTGCCAAAAGTACTTGCTCACTCATCCAAACGATCAGAATCAGGTGTTCCAGCCACTTCCATGGCCACAGGTGGATAAAATGAAGCAGCTGGGCGTGAGACTGGTTTGACAAACATTGGTGAAAGAATGGGTCGCTCTCGGGAGCTCAGTGAACTGATAGGACGCCACCTCTGCAACAAAGCCAGTGGTGATATTTCCTCGCTCCTAAATATTCCACAGTCAGCTGTGCTAGAAGAAGATGGAAGTGTTTGGGAATGACAGCGACTCAGCCACGAAGTGGTAGACCACGTAAACTGATGGAGCGGGGTCAGCGGATGCTGAAGCGCATAGAGCGAAGAGGTCGCCGACTTTCTGCAGAGTCAATCACTACAGAGCTCCAAACTTCATGTGGCCTTCAGATGAGCTCAAGAACCGTGCGCAGAGAGCTTCATGGAATGGGTTTCCATGGTGGAGCAGCTGCATCCAAGCCGTACATCACCAAGTGCAACGCGTCGGATGCAGGAGTGTAGAGCACGCTGCCACTGGACAGAGCAGTGGAGGAGCGTTCTCTGGAGTGTCGAATCGCGCTTCTCCATCTGGCACTCTGATGGATGAGTCTGGGTTTGGAGGTTGCCAGGAGAACGGTACGTGTCTGACTGCATTGTGCCAAGTGTAAAGTTTGGTGGAGGGGGGGTTACGGTGTGGGGTTGTTTTTCAGGAGCTGGGCTTGACCCTTGAGTTCCAGTGAAAGGAACGCTGACTGCTTCAGCAAACCAAGACATTTTGGACAGTTCCATGTTCCCAACTTTGTGGGAACAGTTTGGAGCTGGCCTTCCTCTTCCAACATGACTGTGCACCAGTGCACAAAGCAAGGTCCATAAAGACACGGATGCAGAGTCTGGTGTGGATGCACAGAGTCCTGACCTCAACCCGACAGAACACCTTTGGGATGAATTAGAGCAGAGACTGAGTCAGGCCTTCTCGTCCAACATCAGTATGTGACCTCACTAATGCACTTCTGGAAGAACGGTCAAAAATCCCCACAGTTTCGTTCCACCTCGTGTACCACATGTGATGCAACTGACAAAAAGAACCTTGAACAGAACTGGACCTGGTTTTAATGCAGTGACCCCTGAGGGCCTCGTCCTCTGAGCTCATATTTCTTCAGATTCTGCTAATCTGTGGATCAGATTATGAACTGGAGGTGATGGAGATTCAAGTATTTTTTCAGGAACTTTATTCTGAAAATGTTCTGATGTTTTTAAATACAGCTTTCAAGACTGCTGAACCTCTGCCCATCTTTACGTCTCAGAGACTCAGCCTCTGTAAGAGTCGACTTTTATCCCCAGTCGACCGACCTGTTCATCTTTCTTAGATTGTCTTCGTTAGTTACATAATCCTAAAAACTTCCCAGTTTCTTAGTTTAAACATTTGATGTTTGTTATTCTATTGTGAATGAAATCTGAATTTATGAGAATGGCAAACCGATAAATTTTGTTTTTATTAACGTTTAACACGACGCATTGTTTCTGAATTGGGGTTGTTAATGTTGAGCGCTTGTCCTGTTTGTGTTAAATTTGAAGCATTGGCAAGAACAACAACACAATTTTAGAAGAATGTCTTTGATGCAGTCACGTATAAAATTTAAAGAACATGAGTGATACCAATAAGGAGCCGTGCGGGACACCAGTCTTTTTTTTTTTTGGTCAGATTGATAAAGAACTTGACTCACCGCGAACTCTGCGTGCAGCTTGTGCGTGTTGTTGACAACGTCGCGGAGTTGCTGAGGTGTCAGCGGTCGCCGGGCCGACAGCAGGTACTCCCGGGCCGCCGCTTCTCTGGGGGTTACCACGCCATCATTAAGGGGTTCCACCGAGCCGAGGGCCGACATGTCCAACACCAGGGACACATTAGAGCCTCGTCTTGACAGGAAGAATGGCAGAGGGCCAAGATATGTGTTAGAAGTGCAAAGACTAAAGGCAAAAAGCCTATTTCCTTCCTGTTTTATTGTTGTCTGTAATGTTTGGTTTTTTGTCTCACTATTTCCTGAAGTTCAGAAAAAACAGTTCCAGCAGATTTTATGACTAAATGACCTTAGAAAAACATGGTTCCACGACTTATGATGAAAGTTTTTGTGTTCATGCCTGAAACGGTTCAAGCTCAGGATTTTTAACGTCTAACGAGATCTAAAGGAAGAAAACTTGTTGATGTTGAGTCGTGTAACTTCATGTCCACTGTAAACATGAGACCTTCTTCGTTAACACTTGAACGAACAGTTATGTTGTCATTTATTGCTTCATTTTCAGGTTAAGTTTTTTAGTTCCTTGATTTGTAGAACCTTTGTAAATAGAGCATCTTCAATAAATCTTTGTTAATTAGTTAATATTTATTAGACACAAAGAAATAATTTAGCATCTTTACCAACCATGACTGGTTTAAAACTTTTAGCCACAGAACTTGAATCTGCCCAATCCGAATATGATCGTCCGTCAAACGCAGCAGACTCAAAATGGACGGAAAGAAAAAGTTTTCTCACAGTGAGCTCCATAAAACAAGCGATGCCTCCATGTCCCCGTCACTGCGGGACCTGAATAATGAATGTGTTTAGTTTTGGAGATGAGTGTTTTTCTGGGCTGGAACTGAACAGGGAATGAAAGTAAACCTTAATGTTTTTGTGCAGGAAGAAGTTACACAGAGGAACAGAGCGAGGGTTTAGACCAGAGGAGCCCAATACGTCCATCACAACTGCAGCACAGAGAGGAAAGTAAGGATTTGAACACCTGTCAATCAGCAACAGTTCTGGTCCTCAAAGACCTGTTAGTCCTCCTCTAAAAAGTCCACCTCCACTCCACTTATTGTTCATTATTAAAAAATGGAAGAAGCTAAACACGACTGTCCATCTCCCTCGGACTGGGGCTCCATGCAAGATCTCACCTCGTGGAGAATCAATGATCCTAAGAAAGGTGAGGAATCAGCCCAGAACTACACGGGAGGAGCTGGTCCATGACCTGAAGAGAGCTGGCACCACTGTTTCCATGGTTACTGTGGGTAATACACTAAGAGTCATAGTTTAAATCATGCATGGCACAGAAGGTTCCCCTGTTTAAACCAGCGCACGTCCAGGCCCGTCTGAAGTTTGTCCATGACCATTTGGATGACCCAGAGGAGTCATGGGAGAAAGTTCTGGGGTCCGATGAGACCAAAATAGAACTTTTTGGTCTTAATTCCACTCGACGTGTTTGGAGGACGAAGAATGATGAGTACCATCCCAAAAACACCATCCCTGCTGTGAAGCATGGGGGTGGAAGCATCATGCTTTGGGGTGTTTTTCTGCACATGGGACAGGACGACTGCACTGTATTAAGGAGAGGATGACCCGGGTCATGTGTTGTGAGATGTTGTGGAACAACCTCCTTCCCTCAGAACATTGAAGATGGTCATGGCTGGTTCTTCCAACAAGACAATGACCTGAAGCTCACAGCCAGGAGAACCAAGGAGTGGCTCCGTAAGAACATATCAAGGTTCTGGAGTGGCCTAGCCAGTCTCCAGACCTAAACCCTGTAGAAAATCTTTGGAGGGAGCTCATACTCCGTGTTTCTCAGTGACAGCCCAGAAACCTAGATGATCTAGAGAAGATCTGTGGAGGAATGGACCAGAATCTGCTGCAGTGAACCTGGTGAAGAACTACAGGAAACAAAGACTACTGGTCCAAATATTAACAGTGATGTTCACAGGTGTTCAAATACTGATTTACAGCAGTAACACACAAATAAATTATTTAAAAATCATACATTGTGATTTCCAGATTTTTTATTTAGATGATGTCTCTCACAGTGGACGTGCAGCTAAGATGAAAACTTCAGACCCTCCATGATTTCTAAGTGGGAGAACCTTCAAAGTCGCAGCGTGTTCAAATACTTATTGTCCTCCCAGTATCTGTAGACCGCATGGCGTTAAAACAGCTGACGTCAGCCTGTCATCCATCCTCACTATGAAATGTGTCACTTGATTGACAGGGCAGGGGGTCGAGATCAACTTGAGACCAGAAAGTCGCGGTTCGACTCCCAGCCATTCCAACGTCGTGGTGTCTCTGAGCAAGACACCCAATCCCTAACTGCTCCCCGGGCGCTCAGTAGCCGCCCACTGCTCCACCTGGGTGTATCTCAGGTGTGATGGGTTAAATGCAGAGAACTAATGTATCATTCTATGGGAACAGTGACGACAACACATAGTACTTGTACTTATTTTCACTGGATTACTGAACAAACCTCGACACCATCAGCATAAACATTTTAAATCACGGTTGAGGACGGACATTTTGTTGGAACTAAAGCAGAGGAGAGTTTTGATGGGTTTGTGTGGCTTCGTGTCCACCAGTTTCCCTCCAGGATGCTGTTACTGCTAATTTGTTTAGATTGTTCATTGGCTGGACTCCAGAGTGACCCCCCCCCCCCACACACACACACACACACACACACACACACACACACACACTGACAGAGACCAAGAAAAACATTGTGTTCTCGCTCTTCAACCTGAAATCTTCCTTCCTGTTCGGACCTTGAGGAACACCAAGTGCTCACCGGCCCCTCCCTCACCCAGAACAAAATGGCCGCTCATGTTTGAGGTTTAGACTCAGCAGAAGAAAAAGGGCTGTGGAAGAAACGTAGAGAGCCGGACGCCGAGCTGAAGGGCACATAAATGTGTTTTGTTTGAACAAGAGCCGAAGGAAACGAGCAGCAGCCGAAGGAAACAAGCTGTAGCTGAAAGAATCGAGCAGCAGCCGAAGGAATTGAGCAGCAGCCGAAGGAATCGAGCTGCAGCCGAAGGAATCGAGCTGCAGCCG